TGTGAGGCCGTTGCTTTATCGTCCATATGGAGGGAGAAGGATACGCCAGTCTCTCTCTCTCTCTCTCTCTTTTTTTTTTTTTTTTTTTTTTTTTTGAAAAAGGAAAATTAGAAAATTATGATTTGCTTATAAAGTGCTGAATATTTTTCTTATGAATATTGACATTCTATACTTGCTGGGAAGTTTTCTTTCCGCGTGGTACTTTGAAAAGAAACAGAACTCAGTAATGCTGCTGATACCACAGTAAAATAGAAAATACTTATAAAATTGTTGGTTAATCAATTAATGAACGTTGAATATTGGTTAACGATTTGATTTCACAAGGCTATGTAAGTAAATTCACATAAAATGCGAGCTTACATGTAACAAATTTTGTAAATGTTGTATTCACCCTCTCATTACATTTACCAAACGAAGCTTTGTGAATGCTCAGTATATCTCATTTGCTGTCTATGCTCTACAAATGCCAATTGTTATGATTATATATAAATATATATAAATATATATAAATATATATAAATATATATACGTAGACAGAAGGAAAATAATTTACCCCTCCCCTATAGATTAAATAAAGGGTTCGTTTCAAAATCTGATGGTTATCTGGTACGAAAGACACCCGAAAAATACTGGACGGTACAAAACGTTGTTATAACAACAACAACAAAAGATGATGATATTAGTCCGAATATAAATAATGTAGATAATGGTAAATATTAAATCTAAGATCTTGATGGCTACTCATTTCATATCTATGCATATTCATATTTACTCGGCGTAAAGCCAGGATAAGAGCAGAAAGATCCTGTTGCGCCGGTTTTTCAAATGGTGAAGTCTTGCTTTCCTTGTCATTCATTTGAAAATGTCAGCTTTTGCCAAGAGTTTGTCTCTGGCCATTGGCGTCGATGGAAAATGCACAAATAATTCTGCCCAAAGCCAGGCAATGATACTGTATCTTTAACATAAATTGCATGTGCGTCGAAAGCAAAGTGTGTTACACGAATAATGCCTTCATAAGTAAATATGCCCTCTGGAATATATGTAGTGATGCATGCAAGCCTATTTGCATTTGCGTGCAGCTAAGAGTGTCAACACATGCCGATGAAGAACTCTTTCTTGCCTCTAGATTAGCAGCACTAACTATAATAATGATTTCTGAATACAGAACCGATTTAGAATACCAGAAAATTCAATAGTATTATCGTATAGACATTTAGCATATGCAAATGAAGACCAGTGGCACTAACTATAATAACGACTTTTGAATGCGGAATCCACTCAGAAAATCTGAAAATGAGGCAAACACATTTATCTAATATATTCCAGAAACCTTTAGTCGGATATACACATAAACACTCTCTGTCTGTTGATAATGGCATTTTTATAGATCCATTCGCAAATCAATAAGTAAGGTTTTTAAATCCTCTATTTAAACAGCCAAAACTATTTCCTGTAGATTTCTCCTTCACTCGCAGGAAATGTTTCAGATAAATTTCCTTGTCACTAAAAGAAGTTGCACTGTTCTTAGACGATTTCCTTTCAATAAATATCCTCAAATCAATATCAGATCTTTCCTGTATTTTGAATAACTGTCTTCACGCAGTTCCATTACATTTTCGAACAAAAATTAACAGAATTATATTTAACCCTGTTTTCATTTTTTTTTATCCTGTCAGCTGTATCAATTGAATGCTTCTAAATAACTAGGATAAAATCAATACATCGATATGATATACACGTGTTTTGCCTCCTGACAGGCATGTTTCGCATTTCTAACTGATGTCAGATGTCGATGGTTGTCTCACTGTAAAACCAAGATTTAGAATGTTGATTTCCAAGTGAGGCATCTTTTTTTAATTTAGAAGATTGACGTAAAACAATTTTACTTAGCGTTTGGCTCTGAGCCGTATCAAGCTAGGCTTACTATTAATACTTGCATACACAATTATCTCTCTTCATTTTCATACACGTGTAGTACAAAGGCGCATAAAGTTGATAGTTGTTCGGTCTTTTCCTCAGTAGAAAATTATTAGCAAATATTAAATCTAATAACATATGGAAATAATATAAATGGTAAGAAATACTTATTAACAGTTTCCTGACAGTTTTTCTATGGGTCTCGATTACTTTAATGCATTTTTTCACAATTAACTTTATAGAATGGAACACAGACTTACTCGTAGCTAACTACTTACTGTTATACCCATATTCAAAATTTTCATGTCTTTCTTCATGAGCTTGAATACAATGGACAACGCTGAAGAGCGGTTCTCGTGTGAAGCGCAAACATCATGTTATCCATTTGATTTTTATTTAGGGTTTCTTTTCCTTTTATTAACCAAGGTCTATTGATTTATAAGCTTTTTTAAAGATTGGATGAAGTTGTTAGCTGTTGCATTAAGTGTTTTAACGTAACCATTAGTAATCCGACCAAAGCAACTGATCCAGCTCACGACAAATCAAGCAATAAAGGATTAGTGATGGGCAACCTGTGTTTATTATAAAATTACTTTTGATTAGTTAGTGTTTTTTAAAAAGTGAAACAAAAGGTTGGTAAGCACAATATTTATTTGTAGATTTATTCGGATATTTTTTCTTGTATTAAAAATGTTGACTTGATTGAAAAACAAGTTTGAAAAAAATCAATAAGCAAATTAAAACTATGCTTTAAAACAAAACTTAGCCAATTCGTTTGGCAAAACCAATCCAGAGATTTTTTTTAATTGTTCAGTTGTGAAGTTTGGTAATGCTAATTTATTTGTATTTCAGGAGCTTCTGTTATTAGTTATGCACAGTTTGTAGTATAAAAAATATTCCACTTAATAACTCATCCGGTAAGGTCAAGTACTAAAAACTAAAAATCGTTATTCCGACGCTGAGGTAAAGAAGTGAAGGAAATTTTTATATTTTTGCAACAAATAATGACCGCCTTGCTTTACTTTTAAGTTTCATTTTGCTTTTTTTGGCTTTTTTTCTTTTTTTTTTTTTTTACTTCTCTTTAAATTCATGATTGGCTTCTTTTTCACGATTTTCCTTTTCTCGGATAGCCATTTTATTTTTTTTCATTTAGTTACACTGAAATTTTGTGCTGGTCAATTTTTTTTTTGGGTGGGGGCATTTTATTTAAATGCGATTTTTTAAACTTCTGGTCATTCTAGACTTGCTTAGTTTTCTTTTTTTACAACTTTATTACTAATTTTTTGTGCATTACTTCTCTCCCACTTCAACATTCTCATCCATTCTTTATACAAAACGCTTTCATTATTTTTGTAATACCTAAAAAGTAACTAGTCAAATCGATATATATATATATATATATAAAATAAAAAGTCACTAGATCCAAGCAACGCTTTTATCAACTGAGCTATGTGTCCTTAAAGAGTTGTGAGATCATTACCTGGATCCTGCATTTTTGAACAAAACCTTGGAGAATTGAGTTAAAAGGGAGATAAATGAGATATTCGGAAGAGGTGTGGCACGTGGAACTAGAACAATCTACTACTGTAGATGAATATGGCAATAAAGATGAGGACAACAGTCCGAATAATGTGAATAACGTAAATGAATAAAAAGTAAAAGTAAAATTTCAAAATAAAAAAAAAATGAAATCGAAATCGTAGGAGCATAAGACATGTACTGAAGAAAATTAAATTAAAATTTGTAAAATGTGAAGAAAAAAAAAGGAAAAAAAAGACCAGAAAGCAGAATAAAAAATATAAAGAATTGAAACTGCTAAAAATTGTTAAAAGAAAATAAGATGCAAGTGACCGTTTTGGTGTGGTGTAGTGGTTAACAAGTTAATCATTATTATTAAAATGAATTAGATTCTCACTGAGTACATTATATTTTTAGTCTCGTGTAACACGAAATTAAACGCAATAAATATCAATATTTTGGAATAAGTGCGGTGGTTAATCAGCTCGTTTTACAGACCATTACTAATGGCGTGAGTTTGAATCTCACTGGATGCCTGGTATTATCTCCTTGTGCTAAGTAAATACCGTAAGAGAGCAGATGAGGAAGTATAAAGTAGGAATTAACTATTTTAGCTTCTTTGATAGAAGCATGGAGAAATTAAAGATGAAAAAATCAAATAATAATTCAGGGATCCAACAGTTGAATGAAAAGACAGACAAAAAACGAAGTGGCAAACAAACAAAAATTCACTGATTAGCCTCACTTTATGAAATATTTTTTTTGTTCGTTTTAGTGGTTTCTTGATGTGAATTAATTTAAAATTCAATATATTTTCTTAAACGTGGATGAAATTTAAAATACGAAGACCTCTACTTGGAAGGTATTACCCGCATACCTACCCAAACGAATGATGGTGGGTTTAAGCAGGGAGTACGATGAATGGGACATGGGACAAAGATTGCTCAATATAATAAGGTACTGGCAAAAGGCCACAAATATATAACTAAATAAGCTTAACTTAGTTTGGCACAAGATCAAAAGTTTAGGGCACCAAGTGAGAATCGAAATATAAAGTATTAAGTTAAAAAAAGAACAGTTGGTTAAAAATTCTCACACCATCTTAGCCAAAAGTGACTTCCAGTATTAAATTGTTGAAATGCTGTTGTGGAGTTTTTCATGTTGACTAAACTTAGTATGCCAAATCTAACAGTTTTCGGGATTAAAGCTCCCATTTCTATGGAAATAATTCATTAGGCATATAGGTGTGTGTAGTGTTCCCTGGTTACGCATTCGAAGCGAACCTCCAGCTAAAATTGTAGCTACTAGAGAAAATTAAAAATTCATACAGTACAAAAGTTGTGAATATGAGGTAGAAGTTTTGACTGTTTTATCTTTGAAGAATGGGATTTAAATGAGTAGTTGTTAAATTAAAAGACGTAAGAGGATTGTTTGATTTATACTCTCTAACAGAAAAGCTAAAATTGTCTGGAGACAGCTTGGGATTAACAGACAAATGTATATGGGTTGCGTAAATTATAATGACACTTAGTAAAGACAAAAACTGAAATAATTCATACGCCGAAATGCAGATAAAAACATTTCTGTTCAAAGAAAAGCGACATTTCATTCTATTCTTGAGCGAAGCAACGTGTTTCTTTCTCTCAAATGTATGTATCTCTCTCTCTCTCTCTCTCTCTCTCTCTCTCTCTCTCTCTCTCTCTCTCTCTCTATGTATAAAGTGTATATGTAAATTTGTATCGGTCTATGTCTCTCCAAGTATTTCCTGTTTTTCTTTTTCGTTTATACAAAGACGTGTGCGGACGCAAATATGCACTGAATAATTCTGCTGGCAAATATTTACTGATTTGTGGGATTTTTCTTGCATTAACCATATTGAACAACAAATATCTCTAATCCTAAGAAATGCACCATAACACTTACCTTCAACTGGAACAAAGATTTTTTTTTCATACTTAAACATCTAGTAAGGACCGTATATAGTCATCAATCAAAATTATGACACAAACTTGCTAATTATCGCTTTACAATAAATTTCCCTGTATATATATTTTATATGCCACGACTTTTCAGGATGTAGGCGATCAGTGCTCCCCACAACTTTATTTTACTATATATATATATATATATATATATATATATATATATATATATATATATATATATATATATAAACGTTCAATATATTACTTGTTTTCATTAATGAATCTCTATATTGCGAAGGTTACTTTTTGGTGTGTATGTAATTATTCACGCCTACTTATCATCAGTTGTTGATTGTAAAGCTTGCTTATAACCATTTTATTATTTTCCATATTGGAATCTTAAAAAAATGTTAACTTAGTTCTAAAAAGAAATAAATTTACAAATATTTTACAAAAAACGGACAATTTGGAAAAAAATTCCCGAAATGAGATCGTTTTAATTTGCTTTTATTATTTTATTTTCATCGTCGTAGATTTAAATTATCAAGAATTATTTATTATTAATCAAATTTATTACTGTGAAAAGCAAATATTATTTAACCAAATTAAATCACTTATTTTAGAAATCATCCATTTCAACACAGATGGAACAGATGGAACATAAATTTAAGAATAGACATTACGATTTATAAGCATTGATGAGAGTGCAGTTAACGATGCTTTATACGCTTTAAAAGTAATGTATTTATCTCTTGTATACCCCAAAACAGCGGATCTGTTATTTACATTTTAAACAAATATAATAATAAGGGAATGGTTGACCTTCTATCTTTTTATATAATTTACAAAGCTTTTTAAAATGTCGATTGTGGAATAATTTTTGTCTATTTCGTACAACAGTGAATTATAATTTCTGTCTTGTCGGAGCGGCTGAGTGTTTTCAAACAGGAACAATTTGGAAATCAAACACTCTTCATTCTGCAAAAAAATAAAAATAAATAAAAGGATAGTAAAATAAGAAAACAAAGCAAATTTGTGAATAGTAAATCTTATAAAATCAGAAAGCATTATTTTTTTTTGCTTAGTGGAGAACTAAGTATTATACAAGTCAGAATAGAATATATATGTTCCACCACAGCAAAAATTGCTGATTTAAAAATGTCTGTAAATTTTAATTCAATACTACTTCCGTTCCACTTATTCAAAACTTATTCACACGTAACATTTTAGAGAGGTGTATTGATTATTTGAACAATAACAAATTCGAAAAGGCAATTTATTTTGAAATAATCTATGGTAAGCGTGGTTGCATAAAAAATACATAACAATAAATTATAACTATATAACTACTTATGGGTTGAAGTAAGCAATTGTAAAGTAATAATATATATAGGGGAGTTGGACATTGTAAAAGGAAGTGGGGTGTATATATATAACGTGCAGAAAAGCTGTTCCAAGAGGCTACAATATATATATATATATAAAGTTCATTTAACTGTACAGGCTTATATCCTCGTTAAAATTGTCGATTCATACACGTCTTCAGACAGTTCAGAACGATGGAAAAGAAATGGATTGAATTGGAGATCAAAGTAGATAATACATCTGCATGTAGGAAAGTAATGACTACTTTTTGCTGCCACCTTAATAATACCATTTCTATCATTGTTCAAAGCATAAAGTTATATTTTACAATCGAAAGAAAAAGAAAACGGTAAAAAATCATAGTATTCAAAAAGGATAAAGTCGAAAAATATAGCAATTGAATGTAGATTACTAGTTTAGTGGTAATAATATACTGAACACTTGAGAAACAACTGTCTTTCTGTGAGAAAGAAATGAGAGATAAAAAGGATCGACAGAGATATGTGAACTAAAAGAGTATTATATAAAAGGTTATTTTTAAAAAGTATTTTTAAACCAGCTTTCACTTGGGATATATTCTTTAAAAATGACCAGTAGTTGGTGTCGAAAGGTATTCTGCAAGAAAGACCTTTTAAGAAAATAAGTTCAATAGACACCTGTGCTTTCTCGATCGACGAGCGAAAAGAGCAAATGAAAAACGTTGTTTACAAATACACTTACAAGTAAAAGTATCCAAACTCACTTTTTCTTGGAATATTTCGAGATCATCTTAGAGACAGTCTTCTCTTCGTGTCATGCCGTGTGAGGTTAACACTGACACGAGGTTTAATTGTTTATTTGAACTGGCCATTCCAGAATGAGACGGATTCGTAATTCTCAAACACAGTTACATAAATACGTTTACACAACGATGAGCTTGAAGTCCACGCTTCTAGAAAACCTTATTTTTCTCATTACACAAAGACACGCACATAAGGAAAAGCTGTAAAACGTTTCTTTTCCTACGTACGACCCTTTCGTCAAACTACTGTTTCGCGTGTTGGATCCCGAACTACCGCCAGTCACTATGAACAGATTTCCGCTCGCGGAAACACCGTGCCTTGAGAGACTATTGGGCCTCACACCTGACCTCAAGTGGAACCCGTACATACGATCAATTGCTAAAGATGCAAGAAAAATGGTCGGCTTCCTGTACTGTACCAGAAAATACATGACTCGTTTACATGAGTCGGATCATGTCGAGAATGGAGAACTGTTATTATATTTCTGTGGGAGATGCCTAGTCTTTACTTTCCAGTCTTGATAACGTTCAAAAGCGTCTCCGAGTTTTTATGGGTGATATTTTATATTTTCCATCCCCGACCTTTCTCACACAGGCGAGATGCAGCAAGAGTCTTACTTCTCTATCGCTACATCCATGGAATGTTTTCAGGTGAACTAAATTCCTTGGTTCCGTCAGGTCTAACATTCAGAGCTTGGCCTCTTCATGACATATTGTAGTGAACCACTTACATTCCGTCCGTATTCCATCGGTGAGAAGTAAATATCACTCGAACAGATTCCCGTGAACCACTGCTCTGAGCATGTTTCACCCGATCACTACAATCGTAACCTGTTCATTATGTTCCCCTCCTATCCGTATAGACTACCCCTTAATGTAACGCTCTACCTCGAGTGGCTCCCTCGTCTAGTAGAAGATGAACCTTACTGTAACAAAAAATAGTCACATGTTTTTCTGTTTTTTTTGTTTTGTTTTTTGTTTACGGCAATTCTTGCACTTCCAGAAGTAACTTTCTAATAGATTCAACATTCTTTAATGCAACCAATGAGAGAATTCGTTTCGACCCACAAATGCAATTCTATTTTGCTAACGAGATAACAATGTAATGCAATAATATAAATAGCATTGTTAATATCGTATCATTTAATTGTGGATTTATTTTTAGTGAATCGTATAGTTGGAATATTTCTATCGGATCTTTGGTATCATATGCGTGTGTGTAAGAGAGAGAGAGATTTGACATATTTTTTATATATCAAGAACAATACTGGGCGTGGGGAAATGTTTCACAACGACGAAAATGTCTAGAGAGCCATGATCGCAAGGTTATCTACAGTAAATTTGCGCCCTGTCACAGCATTTCACCATTCCTGACAGACCTTCTATTACCACAGTGTGTGATATCTACTAACAAAAGTGATGGAAAAAAAAAGAATCTAAATGAAATCAGTTAGATAATAAAAAAAATTTTAAATTTTCAGCATTCCTCGTTCGTGCACATGTGTAGTCGCACCAACATAACAAATTTAGGCTGATGACGTCCCAAAGGGTGAAACACGCCACAAGAAAACTTTTTCCACTTTGTCATATATTTTTTCATATGTGTATGTGTGTGTGTGTGAGAGAGAGAGAAAGAGAAAGAGAGAGGGAGAAAGAGAGAGATAGAGTGTATTGCATACTATAAACGTAATATTTAGTAAGTATTCGTGTTTGAATAGACATCCGGGTCTTTAACAGTGAAATTTACCTTTACCGGTTTGGACAATTTTACTTTAAAAAATGTCCTGTTACTTAATATTATTTTTTATTAGTATAAAAGTTATATTTGATTAAATAATGCGATAATTACTTCAATGTACACACTCAGAAACGTTCTCAAAAAATAGACATTTTTTTCAATATCAATATTCATAAGTATCTAGAAATAAACACACTGGCGCGCATAGTTAAGTATATATCCTTTCATTTTCGACTAGACAAAAATAATTCAAAACTGATTCTTGTTCAAAAGAATTCATTTGTGTTAAAGAAATCAAGAAGAAAGGCCGACTCTTTTAATTCATGAAAATTATTAATAAATAAAATTTTATCTGAATGCATCGTAGATTTTCACGTCGATGTTATTAAATAGTACTTCTCTGACTTTTGATACAAACACGTCACTCCCTCATAATTCTTTTGACCTCTTTCTCTTATATTAGAGATATTGTCTCCCCCCACTGCAGTTTTTCTACTACTGTAGTATGAAAAATGACTATTAGATACGATAACTATCAGATGGATGCCTACAGAGTCTAACCTCTGCATTCCAATGATCCATAAGCCAATTATCATATTATTTTGATTTAACTACGTTTTCATTGGTTAACAAATATTTAAATATATTTACTGTGTACTAATGACAGATTTTGTGCAAACTAAACGTATAACAGACTCCAGACATAAATCTTACAGTAATGATCACTGATTGGTCAATATATATCAAAAATTGCAACAACGCCCACGCATAGTGTTTAGATTCAAAATACCGACAAAATCTTGAAACACGTTCTTGATCCGATCATGTGATTAAGAAATAAACAAATACGTTCAGTGAGTTTCTCGCACGGCTAACAACTGCCAATCTTCTCCAAGACACTTGTTCCTTTGAAGTTGCAAAGTTAGAATTCTCTTAACATGAAACAAACTTCAATGCAATTCAAGTCAAGCCAATTCAATTCAATCTAATGCACTCACTCATCACTACTGGATTCATTCATCACATATTGAAAAGTTCTAGATCACGGAACTTATCTTCATCAGAATCCATAAAACATTTCTTACACTGGATTTTATCTACTATCAAGTTAAAATTCTCTGCTATAGAACGAATTTTCATCCAGCTTTTTGTAAGATATTTTTTATTCATTCTTTGACAAAAAAGAATACTGTCAAAGGAAGATAACTTTGTCACTACAGAAATTGTGCTATACAAACTGTTTAAATTTCATTTTAAACAAGTTTATTAATCCACAAACTGTATAAAATTTACATACATTTATTTTGAATAAGTATTTCTTTCAGTGATCTTAAATTTACTTATCACTTTTCATTCTAAGATTTTATACACAAAATTCAAAATCCACGAACAACACCTTTCAATCTCAATCTACACAAATTGCTTTGTAAGATTTATGATATATAAATTTTTTATTGTTGTTGTTTTAAAAAAGAGATTAATTGTTGTTATATTTATGCCTGTTCTATGTTTGCTGAATACCGAAAGTTAAATGTGAGTGGAAACAGCTAATTTCATCACGAAACCCTATTTTCTCAATAAAATTTTACTCGACTAAACAAATATTAGAACCATTCCACTACATACCTTTTTGCGTGTCTTTTCCTGCAAGCAAATCTGTTAAGGAATGTGTTATGCATTTTTTGCTATTAGTGTATATTTTGCCAGACAGAAATACGTGAAATGTTGAAGGAAAGTGGATCCATGAAATCAGATTGAAAGATGGAAAACAAAAATACAAGTGCGAATGAAAGAGGTAGTGAAGGACCACAAACATACAAACCGAAGTGTTGAAAATCAACCATGAAGTTAAGATGCTTTTAGCTACAACTAATGAATAAAACTGCACCAAACAAAAGAAATGCTAGCATGAGTATATTTTCTTGAAAGGCCCAGAAAGATCCAATAAAATATAAGACACTATTTCATTCCTATTATAAACTTAAAAACAAACCAAGAACATTGCTTGAATTTCAAATGTTATACATTCATATTAATGAATGTAGTAAAAATGTTTTTTTGAAATTACTATTTTAACTTTTCGGAGAATTTGTAATTAAACGATATTAATATAGAACAGAAAGAAATTATTTAAGAAAATGATTGATAGCTATCGTTATCGCTGAATAAAGTAAATAGAAAGTAGTAGATAATTTGTCAGCTCATTGTTTGTGATGAGACGGTCAAACGCATACATGTTTGACCTAAAAAATATCCGTATTATTAAAAGATAAAATACATAAATACTAAACTTGTTATAAATTGACTTAAATACTATATAATAATATTTCATCCATCTGAAGGATCTTCGTGAATAAAGTTAAACATTTGCTCGTATGTCACGAATTAAAATACACGCCACAATTTAGTTTTCCAGGTTTACTGAAGAATCCACTAATTAATTTCTCAATGAACTAAAATTGATTTACACTATTTACATTGTTCGGACTGTTGTCCTAATCTCTGTTTTCATATTCACGACACTTCGGCCGTTGTACGCTCCGACCTTCTTTAGGTTATTGGAATTTCGAATCGAACCCTTTATTTTGTCCACCGTGGTATATTGTTCTAGTTCCAAGTACCATGCCTCCTCTGGACATTTGGGTTTCAGTTATTTCCCTTTAGTAAGTCCAAGTAACAAATGACCCAGTGGATAAAAGCGTTGGTTGGAGTAATCCGGTGAGTTCACCCAAAGAATTGCGAGTTCAATACCTGGCCACAGCTGTGATGAATAAAAACTTGGAGAGTTGATTTATTAAATGGAAATAACTGGAACCGAATTATGGAACTATCGCAATCTACCCCGGTGTACGAAATAAAGAGTTTGGTTCGAAATTCCAGTCATCTGAAGAAGACCAGGGTATACAACAGCCGAAACATCGTGAACATGACAACAAAGATAAGGACAACAGCCCGAACAATATAAATAGTGTAAATAGTTACAATACCTCATCTCAGAAATATAGGCGGTACTAAAATCGGTAGATGTCACTCTACAAAATCATCAGCAGTGTATGAAATAAACACAAAGAAACACTTTCTCTCCTAATTTTTATAAGGTAGTAACAATATTAGTCTGTTATGAAATCTATTTGAAACACTTGTTTTGCCGACTTCTAATTGACATGTACGTATTGCAATTAGAAGCACAAAAAAATTAATGTTTTGAATTTTAAATTCTTTAAAATCTGACTTTTACCAAAGAAGTTATAAAATAAACTAACGTTTTGTAGATAAGATATACAAAAGAAAGTTACGGTTTCATTATAGGGTTGGAAAATTGAATATGACTTACAATTGAATGATTTGTCAACATATATTTACATCAGTCTGATCCCTGTTCAATGTTACTATATGAAATATAAAACATAATGATGCAGTGTCAGCCGTATGACTGTTGACATGGCTATACTGCTATCGATTATCGTTGACGTGGTCAAGTATCTTGTGTAGACGAAACAAATAATAATGTCAACTATTACTTCATTGTGATATATTTATTTATTTCACAAGTTTGATTGGTCCGACACGATCGGTAGACTGATACTTATCAAAACTGAACTTACATGAAAGAAACAGAAGTGTAAATTGCAATGATTTGGAGTGCAAACCGTTAATTGGGAACAGTATTGAATTTTGGCTGCTACAATTGACCAGACATCTGGCTGTTCTCATATTATGTGGCCGAATGATATTAGATTAAGAATGAGCATGAATTTGTCTAATTTACCATTACTTAAAGATTAATAGCAACTGTGAACCTGGATTAGAGCAATTATTAACAACTTATTGCTTGTTTATTGTAGCCTTTTGTCAATTCAAACATGGTTCATTAACTTGATGATACACAATCACCTCTTGCTGATATTTCGCTCGGACCCTATGATTGAGATCCTGTGATAGATAAAGCTAAGTTTACTAAATAATTTTGGTGTCTGCCGTAGCTCGATATTTAGAACTCTATGAGTTTGAACTTCAATAGACGCCCCATTTTGTGACTTTGCGTCAGGTCTAAGTTAAGCTTGACAAATAACTATAAGAGCACTTTGAAGGCTTCATCTTGGTGTACCGTCTTGGGTATGACGATAAACTACATCTGTGCCCTGGAAAAGACGATAAACTACGTCCAACAGCAAGGCCTCTGATCAAGAGGTTTTGTGGAGCGTGAAACCACCTTTTAATTGCTGGTGTTCCCAGGTCCACCCTGGCCCGGGTTGGTAGCACCAGTTAGGGTCGCAGCTATGGGCAAATAGTTGATCCCCGTACTGGGATCGAAACACTATGAAAATGTAAAAATAGGTTTTAATACCAGAAATAATTGTAAAAAAATATCTGCAATACATTATTACCAGCAATACATTTATGAAGAAAAATATTACCAGCAATAAAAATTGTTGACATTAAATAACCCATTGTGGTTGAGGTACCGTAAAACAAACCAAACCAAATCAAACATTTTGGTATAATAGACAGCTGAGCTTGTCAATCAGTCGTAGTGAGTTTAATCCTTACTTAATTCCACTACACTTGTAGTTTTTTTGACACTCAGCTATACTTAATAAACAGCAGCTCTATCAACATTTCGAAGGTACAGCGATATATCAGCTGTTTCTATTTTATTCTAGTTACACAGCTATAGTCGACGACTTTAGATGTTTTCCCTTGATATCGTCCAACTTACAAACATGTAAAATGAACCTAAACAAATTCCTACTTTACATTGGTATTCATTTGCCAAGAGAAATGCGTAGAGAGTTTTATAATGGTAATGGAGGGGAAACTCCCTAAATGTACATTTCAGTCGTTAACATAACTTTATTCTGTTAATATCTCCCGCTGTTTCCGACTCTCTCAACACGCGCGCGCACACACACACGCCTTTCCTCATATTCGTCTCTCAATCGCTCTCTCCGTCTGCTCACATCCGTCTTTCTAGCTCTCTACGTCTGCTCATATTCGTTTCTCTCTATCTCTCTCTACGTCTTCTCAGATCCAGCTCTCTTTCTCTTTCTTTTTCTCTCTCTATGTCTTTTCATATCTTGCTCTCTCTCTCTCTCTCTCTCTCTCTTTCTCTCACTACGTCTTCTCATATCCGGTTCTCTCTGTCTCTCTCTCCGTCTCTACGTTTTCTCATATTCGTCTCTCTCTCTGTACGTCTATTCATATCCAGCTCTCTCTATGTCTTTTCATATCTTGCTCTCTCTCTCTCTCTCTCTCACACACACACTACGTCTTATCATATCCGGCTCTCTGTATATGTCTTCTCATATCTTGCTCTGTCTCTCCCACTCTCTCTACGTATTCTCATATCCGTCTCTCTCTCTCTCTCTACATATTCTCATATCCTGCTCCCTCTTTCTCCCTACGCCTTCTCATATCCGGATGACAGACACTCTCTCCCTCAACGTTCTCATATCCGGCTCACTCTCTCTCTCTCTACGTATTCTCATATTCGGCTAACTCTCTCTCTCTCTACGTATTCTCATATCCAACTCATTCTCGCTCTTCTCTGTCTTTTTACGTTTTCTCATATCCGTTTCTCTCTCTCTCTCTACGTTTTCTGATATCCGGTTCTCACTCTCTCTACGTCTTCTCATATCCGACTCTCCCTCTCTCTCTCTACATCATCTCATATCTGTCTGTCTCTCTACGTCGTCTCATATTGGTTCTCTCTCACTCTCTTTCTACGTATTCTTATATCCGACACACTCTCTCTCCGTCTTCTCATATCCGTCTCTCTCTTTCTCTCTCTCTACGTCTCATATCCGACTCTCTCTTTCTCTACGTTTTCTTATATCCGGCTCACTTTCTATCTACGTCTTCTGATATCCGGTTCTATATCTTTTTCTCTCTCTACGCCTTCTTATATCCGACTCTCTCTTTTTTCCACGTCTTCTCATATCCGGCTCACACACACTCTCTCTCTCTCTCTATCTCTCTCTCTCTCTTTCTCTCTCGCTCTATCTATCTCTCACTCTCTATCTCTACGTATTCTTATAACCGGCTAACTCTCTCTCTACGTCTTCTCATATCCAACTCATTCTCGCTCTCTCTCTCTCTCTCTCTCTCTCTCTCTCTCTCTCTCTCTTTGCTTTTTCTCATATCCGGCTCTCTCTCACTACGTTTTCTCATATCCGGCTCTAGCTCTCTCTACGTCTTCTCATATCCGTCTCTCTTTCTCTCTACATCTTCTCATATCTGTCTCTCTCTCTCTTTCATTCTCTCTACGTCTTCTCATATCCGGCTCTATCTCTCATTCTTTCTTTCTCTCTCTCTCTCTCTCTCTACGTCTTCTCATATCCGACTCTCTCTTTCTCTACGTTTTCTCATATCCGGCTAACTTTCCCTCTCTACGTCTTCTGATATCCGGCTCACTCTGTCTCTCTCTCTCTCTCTCTACGTCTTCTCATATCCGGCTAACTATCTCTCTCTCTCTCTCTCTCTCTCTCTCTCTACGTCTTCTCATATGCAACTACATTCTCGCCCTCATATCCTTCTCATATCCGACTCTCTGTCATCTCACCCTGCTCTCTCTCTCTCTCTCTACCTCATCTTATATCCTGGTCTCTCTCTCTCTCTTTCTCTCCCCCCTCTCTCTCTACATCATCTGGTATATACCTATCTGTCTTTGAATGATATATTCACTTATGATAAACATCAGTCAGTAGAGAAAATGTTTCCAAAATGAATTTAATTTAAATGATTTGCAACTCTCTGCTCCCTTAATATTCATAAGTATCAAGCATCTTAAAACTGATCAAAAATGCTACTTCTATAGTGAGAATTTCTATCCCATGAACATTCTCAAAATGTATTTACACATGTAGAAAATTGGAATAAATAGAGAATACCGATTTTCGTGCGCTTTTAATCTGAGATTGGTGGGGAAATTCTTGAAATAATGCAATCACAATTTGGCGAGTTACTTGGCAGTACATTAAAGCGAAACGGAAAAGGCCAAAGAAATAAAAACAAAGTGAACTGACATATTCTGTTGGATAATTATCCGGAAGACATGTTTTCCCGACCGAACTATTATCGCCGAGTACGAAATGAAAGATAAAAATATATAAAAAAAAAAAAAAAACATGAAAAAAAAGAAACTCCATCAAGATTCTTGGCAATATCGGTAAAATACACTAGAATTATTGATAAAAACAAATCAATGAAAATGATTTACGTATATTTCGTTCATAGATTCTTTATTGAAATTACTATCTTTTTAAAAACTATAAATATTGTCAGCTAAAACTATTTTGCAAATACTATACGAGGAGTATTGCAAAGCTTTCGGTTTGAGCAAGGAACGATTCCTACATAAGTGATGTTTATGCATTTGATCCGAATTTTTAAGTGTGTCGGAGACAAACTTTTTAGCACTTCCTTCAGTTCTATGTAGAAATTGATTTTAACTCTTCACATAGAATAAGATATTAAAAAAATGAAATTGTGCAATTGATTACTTTGCTTGCCAGATCCACTGGTAACAAAAAAATGTTACTTTTTTGTTATCGGTGATACCAAAGGTATTAAAGATGGTATATTTAGGAGGAATTGGCACGAACAACGGAATGTTTTATCATACAAATTCAGGGTCATGTTTCTGTCTCTCTCAACACACACACCTTTGCTCATATTCGTCTCTCTCTCTCTCGCTCACTACGTCTACTCACATTCGCCTCTCTCGCTCTCTACGTCTGCTCACATCCGTGTCTCTCTATCTCTCTACGTCTGCTCACATCCGTGTCTCTCTATCTCTCTACGTCTGCTCACATCCGTCTCTCTCTATCTCTCTACGTCTGCTCACATCCGTCTCTCTCTATCTCTCTACGTCTGCTCACATCCGTCTCTCTCTATCTCTCTACGTCTGCTCACATCCGTCTCTCTCTATCTCTCTACGTCTGCTCACATCCGTGTCTCTCTATCTCTCTACGTCTGCTCACATCCGTCTCTCTCTATCTCTCTACGTCTGCTCACATCCGTCTCTCTCTATCTCTCTACGTCTGCTCACATCCGTCTCTCTCTATCTCCCTACGTCTTTTCATAAAGCACTTGATTATTTGCTTCCTAGTTCCACTGACAAGAGAATCGTTAATGACTTTTTTGTTACCGGTGATATCAAGGCTATAAATATATTTTTTCTAGGAGGAATTGGCACGAACAATGGGATGTTTTATAATACAAATTCAGAGTCATGCATATTTATCTTTCTCAGGGCGTTATAATTCCAGATTCACAGACTGTTTCAAGTGAATTTGATCCTCACTGGATGTCTCATCGTCATGGTTTGTGCATAGACTAAAGCTCTCCATCTATTCTTGCTACTAGAATATCTATCTCTTCCCGTTTATATCAAAAGTGCAATTTTATAGGTTTTAAGTTTTTCCTCACTTCACAGTTCTTATATTGGTAAGGTTTCACTGATTCTGTCATTAAATAACATAAAAACCTTTCGCAAGCAATGTCAAATCTGCGTGGTCGCGATTTTTTTTTAACTCTACAGTAGAATCCTACATGAAATCTAATCTAGTTTTCAAAAAGCAAACATGTTTCTGGACGTTTGTTTGTTTGCCTTTTAATACTGACAAATCTTTCCCTCCTCAGCTACGTCAAAGCTGCCCGCGTCTCTAAACACAATATACACGATTTGTTTCTTCACTATAAAATGTTTTCTTAATCGAATAAAAACATTAAATTAAAGGAGACCACGTTTACTGTTGTCAATATCGGTTGATTCTATTAAAGCAATCATATCTCTTTACCAATTTCTTTAATATGATGAAAGTCTTCATTTAAAGACTTTTATTCCATCAGAATTGTAGCATAGAAGTAATTTTGAAAATAGTTATATTTTTTCTTTAGAAAACTATTAACCAGTTTTTATATTTTTTTAACCGGAACTGCTTTGCAAAAAAATTGCATTTTGACTTATTCATTTTTACCATAATACATGTATGCTTTAACAAAATTAGCGACCACTCAATCGAATTTGAAGGAAAAACAAAATATCTGAGTTACTCACACACCCAGGAAGAGACGCATATGTGTCTTCTGTAGAAAAAAAAGTAACAAATGAAGTTAACTCACGCGAAATATAAATGCAACGATATATAAACTAATTGTTTCAAAACAATTTGTTTTGAAAAACATTTTTATTTGAAAGTTCATTAAAGAAATCATATCGTCCGTGACCATCGTCTTGAAAACAAATGTACCTTACTATCGAATTTTTGCTAAGTGCAAAATCATGGCATGAAAACTAGAACACACCCACACACATTATTAGTAGTTCTTAACACCAAAAGTCTCCTGGTGGCCATGACTATTAATTCTTGACAGAAGCTATTACATATTTTCGTAATAAAAAATACGCATGTACGTTAGAATACAATTGTAACTATATAGAAAGAATAAAGAATCATGTTCAATTGATGCATTTAGATTTCACTTTTTGTATCGCAGGGAATATTTTACAGTTGAAGAACTTCCAAAGAAAATGCCCCCCCACGAAAAAAAAACGCTTCTACTGAAAATTAGAAAAAGGATCATTTCAATTTCAGAGATATATTGAGGGATCAGAAAATTTAATACTCACATAACATATTAAAGGAAGGAAAAGAGCGAATAATGAGTGGATGACTGGATAGTAAAGCGGAGACAAAGAAGGATAGAAAAAAATTAAAACATTTGAACAGTATTTGTAGACTCATTATCACCCACCTTCTGAAGAAGCCCGATATATAAACAATACATTGTGTCTGGATTGTTGCTCTTACTTCAACTATCCAATTTTTTCTGTCCATAAGTATAGTTTGCGTCAAAGTAATTGGAATATCACGAAACGCACGTATAGAAAGTTTCATGTTTTCAAAATGAATCAATATTAATGTTTACTTATAAGGCATAAAATTTAGATTTTTAAATGATCTTTTTAATAAAGTATATTTTTTTAATAAACTTGAAAGTTAATTCTATAGCCGAACTGCAAAACAATACGTTTGTTTCATAATAGTTTATTATATTTAACATCTGCATATTTAATCGATCCTGCATCTGTATCAATTGCCAATGAATTCAAGTATCGGGATATTCCCCCAAAAGGATTTGCTATTGCAAAATTGATCTAATAGATAAGAACTGTGATATCGATCTACCTCTCAGCTTTTGAAAGATGTTTCAGATGTGCAAGAGAACATGTATTTGATTTCCTTCTACATTGTTCTAAAATTAAAATACGGTTCTGTGTATAATAAAATGTTTGACAATGCATTTACAAGAAGAAGAAAAGATTATTCAAATTTTCAAACGAAATATTTCTTGTTGGCTACAAAAGAAACTCAAATGAAAGACAATAGAAAAAGATTGACTGAAAGGAAATATGGCGTAATTATATTTTGATGAATTTATCTGATTGGTGAACAAGACGATGAGTTACAAGGTTTATATTAACTGGACAGAAAATTCACAAAAAATAATTTTAAAAAACAATCAAAATAAGGTTACTTTATATGCTTTTATTTCTTTTATTAAGAAAGCAAAAATTGATATTTACCCGACATAACCTAATCTACCTCAAGGATAAATGAATTGTCTTGTATTCATTTTTAAAATATTCTTTTTATGATATAGTGTTAATAAATATTTGTCCGTGTAAATGTGTGCGTGGAATGAGATAAAGATAGCGAGAAAGAAGTCGAAGAAGGTGATTTAGCAATAAGTGTGCTTTTTTACCTATGTTCAAACATCGATCTCTGGCAACCTTCTAGCTATATTAAGCCAGCTAAAGTCTAAAAAATCTCTTGGTAGAGAAATGAAGAATATATTGCTAAATGAATGAATGATGGTAATCATAAGATAAGAGCAAAAACGTAGATTCTCCATGTAGTTATTACTTTTGCTTTATAACTACCAGTAAACTATTGTCTACATATCACTATTCGTTTTGTCCGACTTCCATTGAAAATCGTTACCATACATACTAAGGAAAGGACAAACTGATTCTAAATCTATTTTCTTTTAGCAGCTTTTTACCAGAGTTTAGACAGTTACTGAGGTTTTATAAAGGGAATGTTTCAGTTATATATGTTGAGCAATATCCAGCCTTTCATACGAAATGACAAAAATACAAACTTTAATTAAAACGGTTACAATATATGTAAACTGACGCCATGATGATAGTGGTTAGTGTTAGATTAACTCGCTGATCGCTGTCCCACAGTGAAACGCCCACATCATATAGGTTATCGATTTCTGTTTCCATATTTGATTTTATTCTCTCTCTCTCTTTCCATCACTCATTCAACCTAAAATGTTAATGTAGTGGAGGATTCTGATTGAAAGAAATAAAAATAAATAACTTTATCGGATAATGGTTGACATTATCTAAACGTATATCACGTTCAATCCCTGTAGAATGAGATTTCAACAGTAACCATAATATTTAATTTATGACTGAAATATTACTTCCCAAAAGTTTACACATAGTCAACACAAACAGCTGTTGTTTTTCCTGACCATTAGATTATTTTTATTGCAGGTATTTAAAAAAAATTATAATTTAAAAAAAATATTAAAGAAAAGAATTGATGAATTTAAGTTAATTTGTGAAATTTATTTGATTATTTAGGAATGA